ACTATTGAATAGTTTATAGGTTTATATTTGAGTTTGGTATGTATGAGTTTGAAAATACTTTCTTGAAACGTTTCTATAAATCAATGCTTTGTAAAATGTATCAGATTCTTGTTATAGAAACCAATGTGTAAATTATACTCTGCAAGAGCAAGAATATTCGGACCATGTGACTAATAACATAACATGTTGATTTATGTATTGGGAGGAGAAATGTAGTCACAGCCAGAGCTAAGACAAAGTCTAATTGGTCAAGAGACCATTTGGAATGTGTCCAAGTTTAAAAGCTCAGGACACAAACAAATGTTGCTTTTGCCTCTGCTTTTTGACGCTGCTCTTTGCCTTTAAGTTTTTGAACAATCTTTTGTGCTCTGGGTTGCATGCCAGTTGCTCCTCTACCATCATGTGGAGATAAACCATCCAGTCTCATCACACTTTTCTTCTTTCTTTCTTTTACTTTAGTTTCTTTTCTTTTCCGTTGAGAGTTTTGTGTTCTAAGTTAAGTTTTGCAGCAAAGCCGTGTTTCAGACGTTGTCTGTGCCCGCCTCAAAACTTCAACCAGCGTACAGGACTCTGCACCCATCCTTCAACCAATGCCCAACGATTGGTCTCCCCAAGACATCAGAACCAAGAACGACTACTAGACTTCCAGCAAAATCAACGTCCAGGGAAACCCCCTTTCAGCGGATGACACCACAGTAATCCACAGATTAAATCCCCTAACACAGGCAATGCAAGTAAACCTTTTAACATTTATATTATAAAACTCAATGCGAGGGTTAATTAAATGATTGATGGTTGTTCAGGTCTAAGCAATTGCATATACTGCTATAAACTGGGGATTTCACATTTCCACTCTCTTAAACTTATTTTTTATTTTCACTTTCTCTCTTTCTGTAACTTGTGTGGTTGTGTGAGTGAATGTGTTTATGTGTTAGATTAGTTTATATATCTTAGATTGGTAGAGTTGATGTTATATAGGCTGTTCAATAAATTGCTGGCTGATTCAGTTGATAAGCCGTAGAACAGTGATTCTGTCAAAATTCCTGATAAAAATCATAATTAATTCCCTTTGTCCTAAATTTGTTTACACAGTCGATATGATAAAATGAATAAATTATTCATGTATGAACATATCCACACAAAACAAATGTCCACCAATACGTTTAGTATAGTATAGGTTTTAGGGATAATCTACACTAATTATTTCAGACATAATTATTCATAACCGCACACAGCATTTACAGACAGCATTTAAGGATTCACATTTCGATGCAAAAACTTTTAGTAATTTTCACCTTGCACTACTCGTTTTAAAATACATCACATCTGGATTTAGTTGCATATGTCTGTCAGTCCTGTGTCTTGTGTTTTGCTCCCCACGTGTTCCATGACCCAGTTTTCCCTCATGTTTTATTATGTTTATTTATCCCAGGTGTTTCTCATCTAGTCCTGTGTATTTAAAGTGTTTCCAATTCTAGTTTCTTTGTCTGGTATTGAATGTCGTCTCTCTCCGCTGCGTGTGTGTTCCTGGTCCCATTGGATGATTATTAAAGTCTGTGTTCCTGTGAATTCTGCTGCGTCTCATCGTTACTCACTCCCGTCCTAGCTGGGAAAAAAAATAAATAATATAATGCACCTGTTGCTCAAATCGGATCAGAAAATTCCATATACACATGTCAGAATGCAGCTCCCATACTACTCTCCATTGGAAATTATTGACTTCTGTTAATAATATTTTTTTGAGATATTGAAAATGCAGCTTTATAGTAGCTTTTTTATACATTTATTTAGCCTTGCTTGCAAACGAAGTAACTTTATATATATACGCTATATGTGCTATATATGCTTTCATATGCTATTATTTATCAAAATGTAGGGCTACTATGAACCATAGAAATAAAGAAATATAATTACATGCCAATGCAATGGTCATCTTTGGTTTTTAAAAGTTAAATGGAAAATATAATTTTCACTAACAAAAACTTGAAACATGATGCCTTGAATACAAGCAAACAAACAAACAAAGAAATAAAAAAATAAAACTTGCAGTTTCCTAGATCATTTGGCTCAAGGTTTATTGTCTTAAATATATCAGCCTGTTTTTGATGCTTACACCAACACCTTTACAAACCTATCAATACAAATAAGACTGCAGATACATCCCTAGTTTTGGTATAGATGCAGTTCCACAACAGCTCTGCAAAAAATTATCCTGAACGTCAAATACACAAAACACACTTATGTCTGTCACAATCCACTATCATTGGTGTGTGTATGAGATGTTCAGATTATATTCAGAAACATATTTAGCATCACTTATCATTCTACATAGTGCTAAATGACAAAAATTCACACTCTACAGCTACTAGCATTTAAATAAAAAATATATACAGACAGACTTATAAAGACCAAGCACTCATGCTCTCTTAACACTTTGCTTTAGTCTCGTTTTTGTGATCAAGTATGTACAGTACGAGTGTATGCACATGCACATTATGTCTTTGCAATAGCATCAACCCACACTCCTTCTGTGTAATCAAACTCAAGTAATGCTGAGACTAAATGGCCGTAACACATTTCTCAACCACTTACTCTTGAGCAGCAAGCTGTGAAATTCCCCCATTTAGCTGCCCTAAACAAAAGGTCATTGCACCCTGCAATCTGTGCTAGTGATGAAAGCCATTTCCTGAGCTGCTGATAAACACTTCTGATTAGTTCTTGGACGCAAATAGAAGAAAGATAGTGAAAAGAGAAAAAGAAAAAAAAAGAGCTGAACTTAAAAAACACCTCCACTTCAGGAACCAAGCTTTAAAAGTGGAACATTGGATAATGCATTTGTACCACATTTTTACTTAACACACAAGTTTGTCAGTTTGTCACTGACTTGTACTGATAAATAATTTGAAAATATGGAGCTCTCTTTACTTTTTGTAATCCTTTTTAAAAGGAATGTGTTACGACCCTTTAAGATGGTCTAGGGGTAAAAGGAGTAACATTAAATCTGTGGCAAATCTGTAAACTTGATGGAGGCAGCCAAGAGACAATGCAGGGACACAAACTGCCAACGAAAGTGATTTAATATACAAGGTGAAAAGAATCCATATAACTACAAAATATAAATCATTAAAGAGACAACCCATATGTACAAATATTTACAACTCAGGAAAAAGGGAAACAAAAACAAAAACAAATCAACCCAAGAGAAAGGGGACGCTAGTGACGCCAAAAGAAAGAAAGAAACACAACAAAACCACTTCTACCTTGTTTTAAACCTCTAACCTAACTAAACATAAGAAAGAAAAGAAAAAAACTAATCTTCAGCGCCAAGCGCCATATACTTCCCTACTCTCAACTAATAACAATGAAACTTACAGGGGGTGGCGTTCACCTCTTACCTATGGTGTCTAAACAGATAAAGTTACCTAAATGTTGCACAATGGAAGTCGCACGACATCTTCCCTATCCACCTTCCTCTTGAGTAAAGGGTAAACGTCATAGAGCATAAGCTCATCAAAGCTCAAAGAGCAACGCCATCCGAGTCACAAAGTAACAAAATAACCAAACGAAATGACAAATCAAAAAAGGGGAAAGGATCAAAAATGTCAGAACAAAAACACCAAGGATTTTGGCATAAACAAAATAAAGCAAGTCAAAAACTAGTAAAAAGACAGCAAAAATCAGGGCGCAAAAGAGGTCTCCATTCACGTCTCTCCGTGTCCTTTTATCTGCCGGCAAAAACATTACCAGCAGCAGTCGGCGTCAAGTTGCTTAATGATGACTGACAGCGTCATGAGCCAATCAGCAGTCAAGGAAGGCGGCGTAAGAGATCGATAGAGAAAGGGGAGAGAGAGAGAGATAGAGCGAGAGAGAGAGAGAGTGCGCAAGAACACAGGCACTCCCACAAGGACATATATGGACATAACACTCCCACCCTTAAGAACAAACTCATTTGAAAAAAAAAATAAATAAATAAAAATACAACTACAACACATACCAATTATACTCTCGAAAGAGCATCAGCTAAGACATTCTCCGAACCCTTCTTATGTCTGATTCATCCGAGTCACAAAGTAACAAAATAACCAAACGAAATGACAAATCAAAAAAGGGGAAAGGATCAAAAATGTCAGAACAAAAACACCAAGGATTTTGGCATAAACAAATAAAGCAAGTCAAAAATGAGTAAAAAGACAGCAAAAAAATCAGGGAGCAAAAGAGGTCTCCATTCACTTCTCTCCGTGTCCTTTTATCTGCCGGCAAAAACTTTACCAGCAGCGGATAGGTCGGCGTCAAGTTGCTTAATGATGACTGACAGCGTCATGAGCCAATCAGCAGTCAAGGAAGGCGGCCTAAGAGATCGATAGAGAAAGGGGAGAGAGAGAGAGATAGAGCGAGAGAGAGAGAGAGTGCGCAAGAACACAGGCACTCCCACAAGGACATATATGGACATAACACTCCCACCCTTAAGAACAAACTCATTTGAAAAAAAAAAAAAACTACAACACATACCAACTATACTCTCGAAAGAGCATCAGCTAAAACATTCTCCGAACCCTTCTTATGTCTGATTTCTAAATTGTAGTTCTGGACAATAAGAGCCCAACGCATTAAACGCTGATTGTGGTTGTACATTCGAGTTAAAAACACAAGAGGATTGTGATCGGTATATACCACAATCGGAAGACTACTGGAACCAAGGTAGACCTCAAAGTGTTGTACTGCGAGCAATAAAGCAAGAGCTTCTTTTTCAATAGTTGAATAATTCAGCTGATGTTTGCTAAACTTACGAGAGTAATAACTAATAGGATGTTCTATCCCATTCTCATCCTCTTGAATAAGAACAGCACCAGCACCCACGGCACTTGCATCAACCTCCAGCTTAAAATTTCGAGAACAATCAGGTGCCATTAAAACGGGTGCATTACACATCAAAGTTTTAACTAAATCAAAAGCATGTTGGCTCTCAGCAGACCACTCATAAGATTTAGATGGGTTAAGTAGTGAAGTAAGAGGGCTCACGACAGTCGAGAAATTCTTACAGAAGCTACGATAATAGCCTGCCATACCCAAGAACCTCCGCAACTCTCTACGGGTAGTAGGAACCGGAAATTCCGTTATGGCTGTGACCTTGGCCTCTACCGGTCGTACTTGGCCTTGACCAACCTCCTTACCGAGGTACGTGACAGTTGCTTTGCCAAATTCACATTTTGCTAGGTTAAGTGTTAAATTTGCTTTAACAAGTCGTTCAAACACTGTTCTCAACAGGCAAATGTGTTCGGTCCAACTCAACGAATACAACACCAGATCATCAAGATACGCGTTGCAATTTGGTACATCATGTAAAACGATATTAACGAGGCGCTGGAAAGTTGCTGGGGCATTTCTAAGCCCAAAAGCCATCGCCGTATACTGTAGGAAGTTATCTGGGGTTACAAAGGCTGAAATCTCCGAAGCTTGTGAGGTGAGTGGAACTTGCCAATATCCTTTCAGCATATCAAGCTTTGTAACGAAACATGCAGAACCGATGTTATCTATACAATCCTCCATTCGAGGTAACGGGTAACAGTCTGGCACAGTCACAGCATTTACCTTATGGTAATCTGTGCAGAATCTGAATGTGCCATCGGGTTTGGGAACAAGTAGGCATGGAGAACTCCAAGGACTGCAGCTGGACTTTGCTAAATCATGTTCCAACAAATACTCTACCTCTTGATGCATAACAGATCTTTTCATTGAGTTTACGCGGTAAGCATGTTGCTTAATAGGACGAGCTCCGTTCACATTAATATCGTGTTTCAGGACATTTGTTTGTGTAGGAACATCACCAAACAGACATTTAGAACCAGAAAGTAATTTTTCAATGTCTATTCTCTGATCCACGGTCAGATGATTAAGATATGAGGGAAGATCTTCTAAAATCTCTGAATTTGCTAACCTTGCACACTGCTGAAAAGTATGACGAAGCACCACACCATCCGTGTCCGCACCCAAGGTAACAGTAGATGGCGTCAGATCCATGGCTAGCACAACAGAAGAGACAACGGGCCCTGCAGTCTGTTCCACAGCACCGGCCGTTGGCGTTGACGACTCTCTGGTATGATAAGCTTTTAACATGTTTAGATGACAAACACGGGTTTTTCGTTTTCGATCAGGTGTGTACAACATACTCATTCTCTTTTTCACAACATAGGGACCAAAGAAACGAGCAGACAAGGATGATCCTGGAACAGGTAACAACACAAGCACTTCGTCACCAGGTTGAAATGATCACGCTACCGCTTGCTTATCATATTTACTCTTCATGTCTTTCTGAGCATTGGCAAGCGATTCTCTAGCCAGCGACCAAGTAGTATGTAGACGATCTCGAAACTGGCTCACATAATCCAGTACACTAGTGTTTGAATTCGAATTGGGTGCTAAAATCCGTTCTTTGAGAACCTTCAGTGGACCTCTAACTTGGTGTCCAAACACAAGTTCGGCTGGGCTAAAACCAAGGGATTCTTGAACGGTTCATCCCATTCTTTAGCAGTATCCTGGCAATATTTCCTAAGCATTGATTTAAGGGTTTGGTGAAAGCGCTCAAGTGCGCCCTGACTCTGCGGGTGGTACGCACTTGAGACTCGGTGAGAAATTGCCAGTGATTCAAGCACTTGTTTAAAAAGTTTCGATAAAAAATTTGTACCTTGATCAGTTTGCACTATTTTTGGGAGTCCAAACGTGGAGAAGAACTTCACCAATGCTTTGCTGACAATAGGTGCAGTGATTTTTCTTAACGGAATCGCCTCTGGAAATCTGGTGGCCACACACATAACAGTTAATAAAAACTGGTTACCAGACTTAGTCTTAGGTAACGGACCAACGCAGTCTACCATCACATGTTCGAACGGTTCTCCAATCGCAGGTATAGGAGACAAAGGAGCGGGTGGAATTCTCTGGTTTGGTTTCCCAACAATCTGACAGGTATGACAAGTACGGCAATAATGAGTAACATTTTTTTTTAATCCTGGCCAAAAGAAATGACTCAAAATCCTATAATACGTCTTCGTAACTCCTAAATGACCAGCAAGCTGGTGATCATGAGCTAAGCACAAGACATGTTGACGATAGGAAAACGGGACAACAATTTGATAAACAACATTCCAATCTAAATTCTTGTCAACATGAGAACACCACTTTCTCATCAGTAAGTCATTATCAATAAAGTAAGCAACTTTATTATCCGTAGCCACATCAAGGGAAATGGCAGAATTAAAAGAATTCACAAGAGTTTTATCCTCTTTCTGCGCAGCAATAATTCTCACGTGACACTGGTAATTTGAGTATATCTGCATCAGACACAATTACATCTTTGTTTTCTGTCTTTGAATGGTTTTCCTTTTCAAGACTCATATCCAATGATGTGTCACCCGACAACAGTGGAAACATGAATGAATTAGACAGATCAACTACATCAGCTACTCTGCGCGACTGAGCACGCGTAACGGTGCAAGCTGGAAAAACATCACGGTAAGTTTCAGACAGTACCTCTAACTCACCAAACGCATCTGGTTCATCAACAACTTCAATAACAGGCATTACCTTTCCACCTGCCAGGTCATTTCCAAGAATAACATCAACACCTTTCACAGGAAGTGAAGGACTCACAGCAGCTCTCACAAAGCCAGTACACAGCTCGCTCTGTAAGTGCACACGATGCAGCGGAAATTTCACGCAACCCATCTCAATGCCTTGCACGATCACACTAGTGCCACAAAAGGTCTTGTCAGACAGCTGTAATTTACCTGCCAAAATAAAGGATTGCATGGCGCCAGTGTCCCTGAGTATTCTTACTTCTTCCTGGTCCTCCCTTTTCCCAGACAGAGATATTAACCCTTTTGACACAAAGGGCCGATAACTCTCATCAATTCTTTCTGCAGGATGCACAGCGACCGCAGACCTTAAAGCTTTCACCAACCCCACGCTCTTTGGTTGTGGCTGTTGCTTGCGCTTCAAAGCCAAACAATCAGCAATCACATGCCCTTTCTTGTGACAGTAAAAACATTCACGCTCCTCTTTATTATGAGGCGGGCTAAATCTTGAACGTGAAGTTTGAGATTGCGAACTGTCAAACTGTAACTTTTCAGGACGTGCAGAGGAAAATACATTCTTGTGAGTTAAAACAAACTCATCTGCGAGTACAGCTGCATGTGATAAAGTAGTTACCTTCTGTTCATTAAGGTATACTACTACCCATTCAGATAAACATCCCTTAAACTCCTCCAGTAACATCAACTCTCTTAAAGAGTCAAAATCACTCGCTTTACTGGCAGTGCACCATTTATCAAACAACACTCCCTTCTCTCTAGCAAACTCCACAAATGTTTGTGTAGGACTCTTTTTGTGTTTCGTTGCCTATAAGCCTCTGGAACCAACTCATATGCTCGCAGGATAGCGGACTTCACAGACTCATATTTCAGACTCTCTTCTAGCGATAACGTAGAACAAACTTCTTGCGCTTTACCAAATAATCTACATTGCAAAAGCAAAGACCAGACCTCGTTAGGCCAACGAAGAGAAGTTGCGATGCGTTCAAACACACTGTAGTAAGTATCCACTTCTGTTTCTCTAAATTGAGGAACGAGTGCAATGTGTCTACTCACGTCAAAAGACTCTGGGGCTAAACCAACCCGCGGAGAAGGAGAAGAGGCATGAGCGGTGTCCGGCTGTACAGCTGTACAGCTGAGCCAGTAGCAACTTTTAATGCACTTAGCTCAAGCTGCCTCAGCTTCACCTGCTTGTCTGCCTCGATTTCCAGCTTACGTACTTCCAATTGCAAATTCAGTTCAGCTTGGCGCGCCTGGGCTCTCTCGTGCGCTTCATAATGCAAACGGGCCAGGCGAACCTTCAGTCGTGTGCCTTCCCGTGAATCAACAGAACTGGGTGAAAACGGCTCAAACGGTGGTAAGCTGGCCTTGGCTTCGGCCTCCGCCTCCACGTCAGCATCAGCTCCGCCACTCCGCTTGTCCTCCTCCCCAGAACTGAATTGCGCCAGAGCCACGCCATCCATATCAACAACTCCGCCCGTTTCACCACCCCCAACGTTTGACGTAGGCCACACCTGCAACTCACTCAACCGCAAGATCAGTATTCGTTTTATCTCTCTTTTAAGAGACTGTTTACTTACAACAACCTGAAAATGGTCTGCGATCTGCAATAAATCCTGCTTCCTACACAAATTAATCTGCTCTATAGATGGACTGGTAATAAAATCTTGCAAGTTAAACACTTCCATAATAAATAACCAACCAATAAGAATAACACTAGTACACCGCATGAGTAAGTCCTATACTGTCACAATACCCCAAACAATGCAATGTCCATTCTTTGCAACCAACACATCTACAAAATTACCACAATTACCATAATTTTGGGGATTAATTGATCCCGGACGAGCCCCCATTAGATGTTACGACCCTTTATGATGGTCTAGGGGTAAAAGGAGTAACATTAAATCTGTGGCAAATCTGTAAACTTGATGGAGGCAGCCAAGAGACAATGCAGGGACACAAACTGCCAACGAAAGTGATTTAATATACAAGGTGAAAAGAATCCATATACAGACGTCTCTCCGTGTCCTTTTATCTGCCGGCAAAAACTTTACCAGCAAAGGATAGGTCGGCGTCAAGTTGCTTAATGATGACTGACAGCGTTATGAGCCAATCAGCAGTCAAGGAAGGCGGCCTAAGAGATCGATAGAGAAAGGGGAGAGAGAGATAGAGCAAGAGAGAGAGAGAGAGCGCGCAAGAACACAGGCACTCCTACAAGGACATATATGGACGTAACAAATGACAAAACTAAATTTCAAAGAAAATGTTTAGAAATGCTTGGTATTGCTGAAACCTCTCTGTCTGTTACATATTCCCCTGTCTTGTGTTTTATTGATTCTTATTTTGAAGTATTTTTCCTCTGTTCTGTCTTCCTGTGTTTAGTGACCATCCCTGAATCTCTTGTCTGCCCTGTTACAGCCGAGGCCATCCCTGAACACTCTGCTTGCCCTGTCTCGGCCAAGGAGGCCGTCCCTGAACTTTCTGCTTGCAATATCTTGGCCAAGGAGCCCGTCTCTGAGCTCTTCATCTGTCCTGTTACGACCAAGGAGACTGTCTCTGAACCCTCATACTGCATTGTTACGGCCAAAGATGTGGTCTCTGAACTCTCTGCCTGTCCTGTCATGGCCATGGAGGCCATCTCTGAATTCTTAGCCTATCCTTACACGACCATGAAAGTTGTTCCTGAACTCTCTGAATGTCATGTTCCAGCCCCAGAGGCCTTTGTTAACCTCTCTGTGCTCTCTATCCCAGTCCCGCCTGATCCATCTTGGTGGTCCCCTACACCATCAGCTCCACTGAAGTGGATCTCGGCTCCATCAGCTCCACCATGGTGGTCTTCTGCTCCTTCGTGGGGATCTTCAGACCCGTCTGCTCAGCTGTGGTAGTCGTCTGCTCAGCCTGCTCCGCCCTGGTTGTCTTCAGCTCTGCTGGATCCGCCCTGGGATCCTGCTCTGCCGGCTGCACCTTGGTTTTCAAGCTCCCCTCACATGACTGGCCCACCATCGCTCCCCTGTTCCTCCTCCGCTCCACCACCCTCCCGGACTTTTTTTTTATTTTATTTTTTCTGGAATCTTCTCTTAAAGGGGGGGGGCTCTGTTATTTGTTCCCCTGTCTTGAGTTTTATTGATTCTTATTTTGAAATATTGTTCCTGTTTTCCCACCTGTTCCCTGTGCTATCTGGTTTGCTCCCTCATCAGTTTCTAAGCCAATTTATTAGCTCCAGTGCCCTGGTAGT